GTCCTTTGCCATTCCCTAGCAGATGAAAACCTTGATCTACTATGCACCATCCTCATAATCTCTTCTAAGTTTTTAAATCTATTGTTGGAATCTATCTCACTAAAGTTCTCCCTCTGTTTTGCTGATCTGCTTTTCCAGGTATGATGGCTTTTTCCAAGGAAAACATATACAAAAACATACACTAAGTATGTGAAGTGTGTATTTAATCAAATGTGGTGTCAGAACGTAGGAGACTGGCTTTTCTAGCCATTGTGTTAGCCCCTGTTGGGAGACATGTTCTCCACCTACTTTAACTGTGAATACTCAGTCTTGAAAATAATCTACAGCTATCGGACCAATATAAGAGAATGCTTTCCATGCTGTGACAGAAGGTGGTGGAGAGAAGATGAAGAGACTGTGACACTGCTGTGAAGTAACTGTGGCAAACGTAACCAGAGGAACATTTGAGATGGAGCCATAGTAAATATTTTTGATTGCTAGATGACTTAATGAACAGGTTAGTTCACTGCTCTGAGATAAAGGTTGCTGGATTACTGAGAAAAACAGAGATTGTGCAGCTAAATTGAACCTAGACTTTAACTTGTTGATAAAAAATTGCCTGAACTAATTTGATGAATTAAGTATTGCTGTTAGTCTTGCTTAGGATTGCTGGACTGCAGTTCTGGATGTGCATGTTGTGATATTCTTTGCCTCCTTCCAATCCTCAGCCTAATTCCCTAATAAACTCCACAACTATGAATAAAGTCTATAAGTTAAGTTGCAATGAAAATTCAGCCCAATAATTCATAGAAATAGGTGCAGAAGCATATGCGGTGCGATATTTGACCATGGAGGTTTTTGTATGGTACTATGGATATTATTGTTATTATGTGCCAATGAGTCACCTGAGACCTATAGCGACCCTATATACAGAAGCTCTGAAGGCTGTCCTGTCCTGAGTCAATCTCACTGATTCCTACACACCTACTCCCACTGCCCCAGTTACTGTATCAATCCATCTCATTCTATGTCTTCTGGATGTTGAACTTCAATCCATATTGAAGATTATAGTCCTTGACCTGCATCAAGCAGTTAAGGTTCTCGCAATTTTAGCACCGTGGATATTGTTGCTGTTGTTATGTGCCATTGAGTCACTTGCGACTCATAGCGACCCTATGTATAAGAGCCCTAAATGCTGTTCTATCCTGTGCCAACCTCACCATCTCAAATACACTCATTCCCACCACCTCAATCACAATCACAGAATTGATCCATCTCATCGAGGGTCTTCCTCTCCTGTGCCGTCCCTCCACTCTCCTAAACATGATGTCCCTCTCCAAGGACCAGTCCCTCCTTGCAACATGCCTAAAGTATGTCAGAT